GGGGGGGGGGGGGCAGCGGCAAGCATGCCCCCAGATGACAGCCTGGTGAGGGTGTCAGCCAGGCCGTCCAGGAGGTACTCAGTCCCCTGGCTAAAATTCCATTTTCAGTGCCAGCATTTCTGGGCTTGGCAATCAGCTGCTAGGGGACCACCTGCCCCCGTGGAAGGGGCACAAATGCAAGCTTTGGGCTCTGCGCACCGGAGACCCACAGTATGCCACTGCTCTTTGGATGCATTTGAAGGCCAGTGGGCACTGTCCTGTGCACTCTGCTCCCTGTTCCTGCTTCGCACACTCGTTTTCAACCGTTGACTGCCACTCCTATCCCTCTTGCATCTTGTATTTGTCCCAAGCAATCAGCAACGTGCAGCCCCCTCCCCCATCAAGGAGGGGCTCACAGCTCTAGTTGGTGGGCTTGGCCCACATTCAGGAATGACTCAGGCAGCTGCCTCAAAAAGGTGACGCCGAAAGGGAGAGCGAGCTGCGCATGACCCCTGTTTCTTCTACCATTCCTCTTTCACTTACAGGCTCCAGCATTCAGAGTCTAGGAAGCTGGGATCCAGAGGCTGCAGCCCTAACGTCCACACTCAACAGCAACTAGTGCCCCTTTGTTTTGAAGCGGGATAAACGACAGCTAAAACACCCTCAGCCGCAGCGAAGATCTCAGAACCTCTCCCAACTTGCCAAAATGGCGCCGCGGAGAGCGGGACGCTATGCACCAGGGCAGGGGAACATCCCGGCACGCAGCCAAGTACGCGCGGAGACACAGTGACCTCGACTTCGCCCTCCCCAACTGCTGCGAACTGGTCACGTGGCTAAGGATCCTGACCCCAGCCCTCTCCCCCACCCTCCATGACTGAACGCGAGGCCCACTGCGCAGGCGCCGCGTTTCACGAGGCGGCAGGGGGCGGGGCTTGCGCCAGGGACGTTACAACTCGTCTGGCCCGGCAGCGACGCCATTTTGAATCGGCTGCAGCTGGAGGCGGTGGTGGCTGAGTGCAGCGCTGCGTCCACCGAGAGAGCCGGAGAACATGGCGGCGAACCGGAATCTGAAACAGGTGCGGATCGAGAACAGCTCCCCGGCGGCGCCGCTGGGCGTGGTGGGCGGCGGCGGCATGAAGGGGCTGCGCGGCCTGGAGGCGGAGAGCGAAGCGGCCGCCATGGCGCTGGGCAAGGAGCCCGGCGACGAGGAGCAGGGGCGCGGCTTCACCATCGACATCAAGAGCTTCCTGAAGCCTGGCGAGAAGAGCTACACGCAGCGCTGCCGCCTCTTCGTCGGCAACCTGCCCACCGACATCACCGAGGAGGACTTCAAGCGCCTCTTCGAGCGCTACGGGG